CACGAAATAAGAAAACGGAAGGCTAATTGGATTGGTCATGTTTTACGCAGAAACTGCCTTCTAAAAGAAGTTACTGAAGGAAAGATAGAGGGGCGGATAGAAATGACCAGAAGACTAGGAAGAAGACGTAAGAAGATGCTGGATGACCTTGGGGACAGAAGAAGATATTTTCATTTGAAGGAGAAAGCTCTAGATCGCATTAAGTGGAGGAACTGTTTTGGAAGAAAGTATGGACCTGTTATCTGACAGATTACTGATGAATGAGGTTTCTGGATTTCAATACAGCGTACTGTGTCAGATGATTTTCTTGCTATTCCTCAGTTCTTCCATCAAATATTAGGACAACAATTATAACAAACCATGACCACTGTCAAGCAGTCCACAATTCTTATTTTGTAATAATTAAAATTTCGAAGCTACGTACTTAAAGCTGTTGAGGTGGTGAGGTAGAACATAAAATTGTCACCGTGAATAGAGAAGCACCAATTCATGAAGACGTATGGTAATGTGGAAGTAAAGCTCCATACATTCACAACCTCTGCGACTTATATATTTATAACTACGATAAAATTTGGTGGCCGAAAAAAGTACTCCTAATTTTAAGCTTATCGTGAACCAACTGTATACCTCAAGTGTAACGCGAGTAGGCAATTCGGAAAAAAAATTAAACTTTTTTGTTTTTATTTCAAGGACAAAACTACATTAATAGTGTAACTATGTAATATCGAAATCCAAACTATATACAAAGTTATCAGTCTTAATATTTAAATAGAATTACAAATATTATTAGACCATTTTAATATGTATTTATTAGATATATTTAACAATAAGGTAACATTCACTCTCAAAAGTAAAACAAATTGTAATAATATGGGTTCATATTAAAATAAAATTCAAGAACTGAGACTACATTGTTGTAAGTACGCCTGATGATGACCTCTTGAAGGTCGAAACATGCAGCGGAACACCTTTCCACAATAAACGAATGTTGTTACGTTAGTATCTATTTGTTTTTGTTTACATTCGTAGATAGGTTTGTGTATACGACCCCTTTGTAATATATATCGAAGTGAGTGGTCGACATCACGTCTCGGCCACTTTTATCCTGGAAGTAATTCCCTCTGTTACCATTTTGGTAGGAGACTGTGTGGATCCCAAAGCCGGTCTGGATGCTGTGGAGAAAGGAAATCCTATCCCGGGAATCGAACACGAATTCTTCGGTCTGCCAGCTCGTGGGTCGACTGAGCCGCCTATTTATAAAGCGTTGTTAAATATTCCGATATACAAGAAGATACATCTACCATTCGAGTCTGCTGTCATTAAAATATACAACAAGAGAGAGTCAGTAAATTGGTCACAAATATAATTAAAACAGGTGCAGTGGACGTAATAGGTTTCCTATATATATACAGGGTGTCCCAGGAGGAATGGACCAGACTTCGGGAGGGTGTTCCTTATGTTAAAGTATGCCGATATAACCCAAAACACCTATGTCCAAAGTTGAACTGTTACGGAGATAATGGCCCGAGAAAAATGTGGTTTCCTGGCAGGTCCACGCACTGTAGCTATCAGCTGAGCCCCTTATCTGTTTGTCCTTGAGTGCTGTGAGTCACTAGCCGTAAGCTCATGCGCTACCTACCAGAGCCTACAGATTACGTTGCGGCGGGGTCGTGAATGGGTGGTAAATTAGTTGTGTGATGAGTTGCTGAAATGCCTCTTGTGTTTTCACACGTGGAATATTGTGATATGCATTTTGTGTGTGGATTTTGCGGTCGCAATGCACGTGCTGCTGTTGAAGAATACCAAAGGCGTTTTCCCGATCGAAGGATTCCATCTCGAAGTGTATTTACGCGAATTCACCAGACATTGCGTGATACTGGTTCTCTTGCAAGTGTTTCTGTGCACTCTGAAAGGCAGGATGTACGAATGATAGACACACGAGAGCACATTCTTGATATTGTTCAGTGAAGTCCGCGTCTGTCACTCGTAGAATCGCCTCTCGCATCGGCGTATCACGTATTCAGGTGTGGCAAACTTTACATGATGAAGAGTTATTCTTACCATGATCAAATGGTACAACATCTGGAACCAGGCGACCATGCACAGCGTATGGATATGTGCCACTGGATAAAAAGCTCATCCCGAACTGTTAAGCGTCATTTTATTCAGTGATGAGGCGTCTTTTACCCTGGATGGTGTAAATAATTTACGAAATGTGCATACGTGGTTCCATAATAATCCACATGAGATAATGGAAACGAAATTCCAAAAGAGATTGTCCGTGAATGTACGTTTAATACAGTTATGTAGTCTGTTTATACCACCATGCGCAGCCAGCCATATTACGTCAGCGCTTGCCAGTCATGTGTCATGTATAGTGCTTGGAAACCCTAAGGACAATTATGACATGGCGAGGGAGTATTTTGTACTTCAATTTTATGGCTTCACGTCACTCACAAGTTAGTTTGATGTTACATACGTTATTAACATTACAGAATCCACATATTCATGCCAGTTTTAATATGTATTTTGTAATCAACAAGTGTGTAACAGCGGTCAAAGTTTCACATTTCTCTGGCCATTATCTCCGTAACCGTTCAACTTTGGACATAGGTGTTTTGGGTTATATCGGCATACTTTAACATAAGGAACAGCCTCCCGAAGTTTGGTTCATTCCTCCTGGGACAACCTGTATATGGTAGCGTAGTGGTTAAGGTACTATGCTACAAGCCGGAAGGTCGCGGGTTCAGTCTCGATGAGGTCATTGGATTTTTTCAATTGACCTAATCCTTCCGGCCGCACTAGGCCCTGGGGTTTACTCAGCCTCTAACAGAAATGAGTACCAGGAATTAATTAAATACTTTTCCTGGTGAGTGAAGCGCGGCCGGAGCGTAAGGCTGACAACTTTACCGCCATCTTTGAGCCGAATGTCAGGGTAATGTGGGACCCTTAACGTCTCACAATCCTATGGGCCTTCACGGCCTGGTACAGGGATAGCTTTACTTTTACTTTATATGACTGTGTAGAAGCACAGTCTAGCTTCACGGGAGTGTAGGTAACACAAGCGCATGCCCATGTTCAGAGGCTGCTTTTAGTAGTCAAAATGGCGACCGTACTAAGGAATATACTGCCGAAGAGCAGTGTTTTGTTGTGCGTTTTTGTGGCCAAAAGGACTCAATGCAAATGATATACCACCTTACTGTGGGAAGTGTTTGTCGCGAAAAGCGGTTAATAGCTGGGTGCCAAACGTTTCGTTGGTGACGAAGATGTTGAAACAGAGGGGCGACAGTGGCTGAGACATCAGTCAAAAGACTTTTATGCTACGAGTTTCGACGCACTGGTAAAGTTATGGGACAAGTGTAACAATGTTGGTGGAGGATATGTCGAGAAATGCTTTTTTCCATGCTCGAATATCACATGTTTTACGTTTTATATCCATTTGTGACCTATTTACTCACTCTCCTTCATATAAAGACAAGGAAACAACTACAATGCATAGATTCATAAGGATATGAAATATTTTTATTAGTTAACAGAACATAGTGGGGGCACACGGTAGCGTAGTTAGTTGAGACACTATGCTACAAGCCGGAAGAACGCGGGTTCAAATCCCGATGAGGTCATTGAACTTTTTTCAATTGACATAATCCTTCCAGTCGCACTATGGCCCTGGGATCGACTCAGCCTCTAACAGAAATGAGTGCCAGGAATATTCTTGGAATATTCTTGGGGGTATAGGGCGGCCGGCGCGTAAGGCTGACAACCTTGCCGCCATCTTTGAGCCGCTTGTGGTACCCTCAACGTCTCACAACCCTATGGGCCTTCACGGCCTGGCACAGGGATACCTTTACTTTTACTTTAACAGAACACAGTGTCCCTTGAGACTTAACTACTATTGTAGTTGAGAGAAGACATTTAAAAAAATCACAGAATTTTTGTTTAAGATTCAAAACGGAGGGGCCCCCCTCTCCCCCCGAATATAAATCAGAAATGTTGTCTCTTAAGTGAATTCGCTGAGGCAGAACTGTATCCTCTTTGCTTTGACAGTCACACAGGCTTGCACGGTATTCAGCACTTCACCTTCTGTTTATACCAACCCAGTCTTGTTAGCTTTACTGAAAGTGAAATAGCTTCTGCAATTTGTCGGGCTTTATGGACCGGAAGAAAATGAAGAATGAGAGAAAGGGAAAGGATGACCAGTGAATGGTAGAGGAGAGAGGGAAAGCTGAAGGAACGTCTGGACGGTAAGGGAGTCTTCTCAGTGCAGGAAAGATCTTGGAAGGAAAGAAACAGTTGTTTACTCTCGCTCTGTAATCCGTGTTGTGCTCGTTACGGGGAGACACTGTGGTTACGATGTGTCGGTGTGTGATTGACAGTTCATAATAAGTAAGGAAATAATTTTAATTTTCAACGACAGAAATAGTAGGAGAACAAAGTAGTGTTTACGAAGGTGTGGTTCCTGACGTGCAGTGTAGTGTGTGCTTGTTACAGGGATATTGGTGTGTACTCGATGCAGCTGCTTATCTCACACGATGACGCCGATAACGAACTGCAAGCATCTCGTCTTCAAGCTTCTTGTTGCGTCTGTGCTCCTTAAACTCGTGGAAGGTATGTTGAGTCCTCAGCTGTATCCGTACTTTCCGTGTTGAACTACTTAAGCAAAAGTCTGGATTTTGTTATTTGTATGTCCTCTACACACAGAAAAGCAAGGAAGATGACAGAAGACGCATCAAATTATTTCATACTGGGATTACGAAAGAAATTGTTGTTTACTAGCGACGTGAATATGCATAATAAATATGTAGGTCTATACGTGCATATGACATAACATACGCAACTTTCCTGTGTGAAAGAGGAAGAAATTCTGGGGCCACATACCAGGTCGATGACCAGATAATTCGGTTTCCTGTATAGTCATCCAGTGCCTGAGCAGAGCTCATTAGTCTGGGTGTCGAATGAAACAATTTATCAATTCGCGTTAGATAGTAAATGGTAACACTGTCCCTGGAAGAGGCTGTTGAAGCCCGTAGGGTTGTGAGACATCGAAGCTCCTATATTTTCTAGACAGTCGGCTCATAGATTGCAGTGAGGTTGTCGGTCATATGTGCGGGTCGCCAGTTACCCCCAGAAAGATTCCTGGTACTCATTTCTATTAGAGGCTGAGTCGACACCAGGGTCGTAGTGCTGCTGTGAGGATTAGGTCAATTGAAAAATCCAATGATGTCATCGGGATTCTAACCCACCACCTTCAACCTTGTAGCATAGTGCCTCACACAAATACGCTACCACTTGTCCCTCGCGTTAGGAAGTGGGTTTTCTGAACCAATGTAGACAAGGGCTTCGGAATATTAATTTGGATTTTAATAATTTCGGAAGGTAATTTTAGGTCCACTAAGGAAGGGGTTCAATTTTCACGAATTTAAGTCAGAATGGTTGCATGAGAATTGCTTTTCTTTCTCCTGATTCTTTTCTGTACAGCCGACGTGATAGAGAACGCCGGGAGGTACGCGTGTATGCTTACCAGTACACGGTAGCTACAGACGTCGAAGCAATATGCA